CCAAAACAGTATCAAGTAGACCAGATGATCCGATGACTGGATTCACCATCATGCTGAGCCAGCACTAAACAGATCTCATCATGCCTTACTATATGATATGATCCCAGTCACCAGATACAGGTACTAGCTTCTTAGATTGGCTTTCATAGGTTGGGTTTCACACATCTTTTAAAAAAAATGAGGTGGTCTAGTTTGCAATTTGATGTATTGTGCAATCCCTGGCAATTGGGTTAATTAAACAAAATGAAATAAAATCTAATTAAAAAAAACACATTTGAAATTGTGTGGAGATAGTTCTGTAGTCTCAGAGAAGAAGTCTTACCATTTCTGCAAATTTCCAAAAATGAACAGCTTAGGCCTCAGAAGTACCAAGAGCGATAGGCTGTGTTCTTTCCTCTTTCTGTAACAAGTAGCCTGAAATTTTTGTATCAAGGATTGAAATCTTTAGGTAAGACCAAAAACTATTCAAGTTTAATCTGCTATTGGTAATCTACTCGATGGTGGAAAAGGTCAACTCAGATGAAAAACACTCCAGTCAAAAGCCAGATCTGAGAAGATCCTAAATATAGGATGATTTCATGAATTTATGAAAGGGATCCATGGAATGAATACTCCCATTTTGTCCTGTTTCAGATTCTAATATCTGTTATGGATTCTACATTTATCCAAATAAATGAAACCATATACTCAAATTTTTATGGTCCTATTTACTTGTCCTGGTAAATGAAATGTCCAGGTTACTCTTTTACAAGATATGCCAACTGAAAGCTAACTAAACTTTTTCTCTATCCCATTTATACTGAACAAAATTAATGTCTTTCTTGTGCTTTTTAGTTTCTCAGGACTGAGTTAATTTTTTTTCTCCCTCAGTGATTCATTGCTCCTTTCGTTTCATTCCTTCCCTTTCCCAGTTCAGCGGTGTTTCACACTAATGGAATGATTTTGCTTTCATTACATGCTTAAGCTGGTCAATTCCTAACTCAGATCAGATGTTATGATGAGTGGTCCTTTTTAGCACATAGTCACAGGCTCAGTAGTCGTTAAAATATTCAAGGAATAAGTAGCAGTGGCAAGTGAAAATAAAGGAAAAACAAGTAAGAAAACTTGCAAGTTCCAAGATACACAAGAACTCCCATTCATCCTAGAGGTCTGTCTTGTTGACATTCTTCCTTTTAGCAGCTCCCTTCATACTCCATCTTTGCATCAGCCTGATATCCTGAAATGGCTCATGAGATATACATGCTTATGCTCTTAACAAGGAAAACAAAACTTTGATAGGGGATCCCACTGCAATGTAATTCTCACAGCCAGAAACACTAATGCCCATTCCCCTAGACACCATGTCATCTACACCCAGCTGACATGCAGAAGGCCATGAAGAGCTTTGTTTATTTAATGTGTGTGAGTGCATGGAGATATTTTCAGAAATCAACCCTACTACAGCTAGTTTCCCATTTGATTTCATTGCTGACTCTTTCATTCTAGCATGTTAATGCATCTTAGTTTTAATCTGGCTTCCTGAACAAGTAGCAGGAGTGGAGTCCGTGTTGCATTCTGCCCTAAATCATCGCCTTCAACCTAGAATGGCCCGGCTTACAAAGCAGGCTAAGCCAAAATCAGATAAATCACACTGTGATTTAATAAACCTGTGAGTCCACTCAGTGTAAATGACACCTTTTAGTGGGACTGATGTTTCATTGGTTACAAATATTAAAAGGCAAGAGAATAGTGGCTACATAAAGGAACAGAGACTTATTCTTCTTCGAAAAAAGAAGCTGAGATCTGATTATTCCAGGTGTTATTCTGGAAAAAGACTACATACAGACACACATTTGAATAACATGTAGTGAACTTTCAAAAACCAGAGAAAATTTCAGAGATGATGTCTTGAGCTCCTTGACATATACTCAATGACTTGTAGAAGTATTATGCAGAATTTTTTTCTAACAATAATTTATAAAGGTTATAATTCTGCTTTTTATTTTACATTTTTAACTCATATTGTTCTGATTATTTAACATAGCTATATATGTTCAGTACATAAGAAGTATTTGCAGACTGAAACTAATCTTGATTTTGTCAAACTACAGTAATATATCTCTAAAAACACTCAATTCCCCCAAAGCAATAGCCTTTACATGATTTCTGCACTATATTTGAAGGGGTAAGACAATACGTTAATTCTCCTTACTACAACTTATATATAGCATACATAAGGTTGCAAATTAATTAAAAAACGGGTCCAATTGATGTTAAGGTATCATTTTCAACCTTAACACTGGTGGCATGAAGATTCACACATTGCATATGAGAAGTTATTAACCATAATTTGTTGAACATACCACAGTAGCCTGGTTTGTATATAATACAAAGCTATAAGTGAGCTTGTGTATCACGCTAAGCCCAAACGTGTAAGCTGTTTTTAATTGTTTTAGTATTATGTAAACTGGGCCACAGACATTTGGGCCAGTCTGTTTAATTAAAGGACAGAAGAAGAATCCACATCTCCTGAGTTCAGCTGTACAAAAGGTGAATGAAAGGATATTATAGTTTAACCAATCAAGCTATGCAACCATGCCCTTCTAAGGATAATTCTTGCATTTAATTTCATTTTGCTAATATAAGACAGCAGTCAGAGGCTTCCACAGATAATTATCAGGCTGTTATATTTCTTTCTAGTTCATAATCCTTAGCTCTTTGATGAACACCAGGTCAACAGACTGAAATTAAGTACAACAGAATGTAACCATAAAAACTGCACAGTAATAAGATGTGGTGGGGTGGGATTCTACCAGTTCGCACCTATTTGCTAGAACCGGTTGTTAACATTCTAAGCAGTTTGGAGAACCGATTGTTAGAAGAAATTACTGACCTAATCCTGTAAGGAAGGCAGGAAGGAAACATTCTGGTGTTGCTTACAGAAACTTCCTCTCTATTAACCCTTATTACATTCTTGGCAGGACTAGACTTCCTGTCTCAGGAACTTCTCTGGAGTTTTTTTCCCCTCCTTTGCTGGTACTTTGTTTGTGTGGAGTGACCATTCAAAGTTACAATGGCACTGAAAAAAGTGACATGACCATTTTTCACACATACAACTGTTGCAGCATCCCCACAGTCATGAGAGGCCAGGTGAGAAGATGCGTGCCTCGATGTGAGTGATATTGAGTTGGCCACGCCCAGCCAATAACATGACCACCAAGCCACGTCCACCTAGTCACATGACCACCAAGCCACCCCCACCAACTAAGCCATGTCCACAGAACCGGTTGTTAAAAAATTTGAATCCCACCTCTGGAAGGGGTAATAGGAGAATTGAAATGTAGTTTTGAAAATGTAAAAAGATCAAATATTTAGGACATCTAAAATGCTCAAATGGATTTTGCTTCAACTATTTGAGTGTTTAGACACTTATTCTAAATGTTTCTTCTTGTCTCCTTGTTCCAAGCTCAGTAGCATTAACTGGCATTCTGCACCATTAAGTTAAATACAATTGTTGGTAAGCCATATAGCATAACAAAAAACTACAAGGATGGGATTCACACAATATACTTAACTTCCAAATAAGCCAAACTAATTTTGAGTACAGATGTGCAAAACTTTTTGAATTTGAAAAGAAGTGTTCCATCCATATTCTTGGCTTGATAGTCTTGATAGAATCAGATCCATCACCCGAACCCTTCCAATTAGAACAAGGAATTTGAAGCTTTAGATTGTTTATACACCTATAATATTGTGCATTATTGTGAGAGTATGGAAACTCTAAACAGGCAGTAATAGACACTTAGGACAAGTGTATGCAGTTGCAGGCAGCCATCTTGGTGTGTGATTGATTCATTCAGAGTTCAGCAATACTGCAACTTAAATATTTTGAACAGCTGAAGAACTGCTTCACTGAGTTCCTTCCGGCAATCTCTGAGTATTTAGTTCTTCCATACATCAGTTTCCCCTATCATTATGTGATTTCATCTCCTCTACATTGGAAGAAAAATTATGGATTATTATACATCTGGTCGATCCCAACTTGCCATGCACACCAAAAGTGAAATGGACCTCCTTTTAAAGGAAAATTAGACAACCTGTGACCCATTGTTTTAGAGATATTTTCTTCCCAAATTCCTCAATGCCTTCAATAATGGCAGAATTTCTGATGTACTGCTTTCACTGGAAAATTCAGGAAAATGTTTATAGAGTTATATCTTCACTTGAAAATAGCCCCTTGTTGAACTGCATAGCATAAACATGAGTTGGCCATACGGAATATTTTATAATATTATATGTTATATTACTGTATTATGTCACACAAATGTTTCATGGTGATTTTTACATCATAAAATGCTTTATAACATTTGCCAGATTTCAATTCCATGGCTGTTATGTGTTTTGGATTTGGGGCACAATCTGTAAGTTAGACCATTTGATATACCTTGGTTCAAAAATTGTTGCTCTATGATGCACTGTTTCGCCCAGTTAAAGGATACAGGCACAAGAGTTTTGGTAGTATATAGGTCAGTTGATTAACTCTTCCAAATTATCCCTCCCCACCTGGGCTGGATTCTCACAACATAATAGGCTAACATGTGACTGGTTTATTTGTAGATCATATGTGGAGTTAATTCTGGTAAACTACGGTTCAGTTAAATGTGGAAGCATAAGATTTATTTTATACACAACAGGCACACATGCACATATATATATAGTAGGAGGAATTAAATGTAGCAGTTCTGCAAAATCATTGAAGCCATAATATTGCAATCAAAGTATTGTGGTTTATGATTTTTTTACTGGAAAAAAATAACAGTTTTAACAAATGCAAAAGCTAGAATAAGAAATAGTGGTAGATCTTTGAATAATGTTGCTACAAGTCAGCATGCATGCCTGACATAACTGTCTAATGCAGCATATAAAACGCTTTTATTCTAGATAGTTGAGAAATTTATTTTGAAAGAAAATGGTTGCAACCAAGAAAACATCTGGATCTTTATTATTTTGGTTGACATATGAATGTCCCCGGGGTGGCAAGGTGGGGAAATGCCTCTGCATCATATTCTACAAGTGGCTCAAGTTAACATGTCCTTGTGCAATGATACATTTCTCTAATGATATCATAATGCATGTGGTGTCATTGTAATAGTTACCTATGGGATAACCATACAAATAGAAGCCCACTATTCCTTTATTCTTAGCATAGCCTACTGTATACCATTTACATTTCATCTCAGCTCTTCACTGATGGGCCTTGGGATCCTGGCCAACAATTTAAGTCCTACAAGGATGTGGCCTGGCATAGTGGAATTACATGGCTTTCCTTTCATCAAACAGCCCACTAGATAACAGAGGGCACATTATCTCACAGAAGGTGCAAGAATTGCAGCAGAAAGAATTGACCTTCCAGGACTCATAGGAGCAACTATCCAAGTCTCTTCTCCATCATTCATTTATTCTTTTATTGAATAGCCAAACCTCTCATATTTTCACATAGGCAAGTAATATGTGTACAGAAATACACACTATCATTTCTCTGGATGTACCCAGATCAAATTGGCAATTTTGCTATTACCATTTGCATATAAAAATACAGCCACTGCATGGTAAACAGGAATATAGACCCCCTTTTTGTCCTAGACACCGAAGTAGTTTTGGGGGAAATAATGTTGTTTGTCAACGTTAAATGATAACTGTTAAATATCCAACAGGCTATGTACAATTTGTATTACTATATTTCATGTCGAAGTTTTTTTTTTGCCTGAAATAAGTTCATTTATTTTTCTCAGATCTCCAAATGATGCTGTTGCAGAACCTCTCTCGGCTGGTTGTGCCTGAAAAGGAGAAAGAAGTTGCCATTTTAAATATTAAGAAGCAAGTGTTAAGTAAAATAATATGGTTTTATTTTTATTTTTAAAAAACCAACTAAAAACCCTAATACATACTCTTATTTAGTCACCCTACGTATTACAGGGTGGCTAAATAAAGGAAGGTAAATATAACAGGGAAAGTAAATATTACCTGTGATTTATGGAATTTCCATCCTATCATATAATATATCTGAAACGTTGCTGGTATTGTCCCATCATTATTTCCATACAACTCTGTAAAAAGAAACATTTTGCATTTATTTCATTGCAGCAAAAAGGAATACAGCGGAAACCTATCTAATCTATTATAAAATAAGTATATCCGATTCAAGACAGCTTGATGCTTCAGATGTATTGGTTCAAGTCCCTGTGCCAGCAAATTTATCAACTATAAGGAACTATCAAAAGAGAACGCAAGGGAATGCAATGGGTTCATTGGAACCACCCCACCCTTCTTGGCCTAAATTCCTCCCCCTTTTCTGTCTCTGAGCTGAACCCTGGTTGTGCTAACAACAGTGATAACAACATTGATAACAATGGCAGTCAATGAGAAGAATCAACAAAGAATGACAACTTTATATCATAACTGTGTTTTACTGACTGTAGCTTTCCATTCTCCCTTTAATTATTTGGGCCAGTGGATTACACACCTATGCTGGAATGGTACATTCAATGGTGCTCAAACATTTGTGAACCTTTTGAATTTTCAATATTTTGGTATAAATGTGACTTAAAACCTGATTTGTTCACCACACAAATCCTAAAGTTGATAAATAAAACCCTATTAGACAAATGAGTCAAAAATATTATATTTGCTCATTTATTTACTGAGGAAAATTATCCAGAGCTGCATATTTGTATGTGGTAAAAGAATGTGAAATGTTGTTACAGTTAGTCCTTGATTTACGACTGTTTTTTTTAACAATGAAGTCATGACAACCTCTGACAAAGTGACTTACAACCTATCCTCAAAGGTATGGCTGTTACACCACCCCATGGTCATGTGATCTCACTTTGGGCACTTGTTAACTGGCTTGCATTTACAACAATTGCAGCAAGTTACAGTCACATGTTCACAATTTGAAATTTTCCCAGCCAGCTTCTGACAAGCAAAGTCAATTGGGGAAGTTGGATTTGCTTAATGACCATGGTGAACTGCTTAACAACCACATTACAATGGTTATAAAATCGTGTCCAGTCAGGTAATGACTTGTTTGGAAACCACATTAGTCATCAACATTATGGTTCCCAATTGAAAGAATTCAAGGACTATATGTACTACTGCCCGAAGAGGTAAACCACATACAGAAAGCAAACTTTTTCACAAATTTTTAAGCACCACAAAAAAGATGGTGGGACAGAAAATTGCATGAAATGAGTAAGCTGGAAAATGTAGTGACAAAATCTACTTCCATGTGATAAAGATGAGTTACTTCAGGGGTTCCCAACCTCCAGTCTGTGGCCTGGTGACAGGGCGCAACCCGTTTGGAAGTGAGTTGTGGAAGTGATGGGTAAGTGCATGTGCGAAGCTGCCTTTGTGAAAACGAAGCACACAGGCAAAACCATCCTCTCTGCCTCCCTCCCCCTCACCGCTTCTTCCAGTCCGTAGAGCCAGAAAGATTGGCGACCACTGTGTTACTTAATAGAAAGCTCATACCTTTATACACTGCTGCAGCTGCCAACATGGTCGCTCTATGTATCATAGGTTTCCTGTTCCAACAGCAATTACTTTCTCCCATACCTAAAAACAGTTTTAGGCTTTAAAAGAAGATACAGCATACACCATCAGTTGAATATATTTTAGCAACATGAATAGGATCAGATGAGTGCAAATGTTTTAAAATAACACCAAAGATCTTATTTCTGCTTACTCAAAGACAAATTTATCCATCAACAATGAGGTTAACATGCAGGACTGCAGCCCCAGCATGTAGTCTTTAGCCCAAAAACCTCCTTATAAACTTATATGCACTAAGATTAATGAACCCAGCAAAAACTGGGACCTATACAAAATACAAAGTACAATTAATATGATTTGCCAGTAAATAATTTTCTATGAAAATGCCTTCAGAACCCCAGCAGCATAAAACTTCCAATATATACACATACCTTCCTTCTACAACAGGACAATGGTTTATATGTCACCTGGGAGATACACTCCACTAAATTCAGTGGAATTTTATTTCCAGCTAATTGTGCTTAAAACTGCAACCTATGTTTCTCTTTAATGTACAGATTAATCAAGACAGTTACAACCCAGCTCGCAAAGCATTCCCTTCAACTATTTAAGGGAAGAAAAGATTCAGTGTGATTCAAAATTACTCTGGTGAATCAAGTCTGGGCAGAAATGAAAAGCTACTTCACTTGATGTATGGTGATAGCTCTGTTGTGTTAATATATATGATTAGCTTAAATGGAACCAGCAATTTGGCCTTCAACAAATCTATAATGTAAACCCACAAAATGTCTATTGGAATGCATGGGTCACTGCTATGGCTTGCTTATTTAAAAAAATCACTCTGGCACACCCTAGGTCAGAGGTGAGCATCTTTTGAGGGAAGGGACAGCATATAGCTGTTTTTTTCAACTCTGTTTCTGGAGGAAGGAAGGAGATGCTAACAGTGCCCTGGTATAGTGCTGCAGGGTACAACGTTTTTTGGGGGGCGCACATGCAATGCTGTGGTGCCTGGAGAAAATAAATAGGGCTGATGTCCCAATGATGCTTTTATCATCTGACTCCACGCCCCTTTCTCCTTTGCCAAACTCCTCCAGATGTGACCACGGGGTGGTTAGCAGGGGAAAGGGGAGCTGTGGCCTTTAAGAGATAAATTGCTATAATTCTCATTTTTAAAACCCTCCCCAAACTTGGAGGATGTTCAAAAATACCCACCCACCCCCAAATTTGACCACTTTACTATTAACCTCTTTGGCATAATTTCAGAATTTACTACCTATTTTAAAAAGGTGAGCATAGCCTACAGAGGTTTTTGTTTTTGACTTTGAATAAGTTAAACACAATATACAGAACTGTATACTATCAATCTTAACAGCATGTGAAAAAGTAAACTGCAAGAATAAATTATGCATCTCTAAGTCCTGAAATGTATATTACTTCTATATTTATATACTTTTCCTTAGTTTCTCTTGAAAGAGCATGTTCATTCTCATTAATATACTTCACAGTTCAATAATAAAGTAATAAACCCTAATTTATTTCTCCAAATAAAGTCAAATCACGCTGGTAGTTCACTCTTTTTTAAAAAAAAACATGGAACTTGCCTTGTAGATCAGCCATAATTTCAAACATTCCTGGATAGTTAACTTGGATTTCATCTGAATCCTGGAAATAGTAAAGAGATTTTTGACAATCACCAGAACAAAACACATTAATTCTAAAAATGGGACTTTAGAAATAAATAAATGAGGTCAAACCCAATATTGCTAATTACATTTTTTTCATCTTACATACCACTGCATATCGTAGAATTTTTTTTTTTTAAATTGAACTGGAGAAGCCCCTGTCAATAAAATGCTAACATTGCAGAGTGACAGAAGAATAATCTGTTTGGATAAGAAAAAAAAACTACAGCAACCTCCAACAAATGATAGTTTTACTCCAGGTAATAGAAAGAGTAGTCATCCAGCAAGCTAGCTAAACAGTCAATAGCTAGGAGAGTCAATAGCTAGGACAGAGACTCTGAGCTTGTATAACACACTAAGCCTTATCATGGTTTGATTGGCTACTGTGGTTGGTAAATCAAAGACTGGGATTTGGTGTTATGTGTAAACCTAGACAATGTAGTTCATTCGACAAGCTATGGCTTATTGAAATATGTTAAATCAGGGCTGTCAAACTCGTGGCTCACGAGTCAGATGCATCACACACTGGCCATGCCCAGGTCCGGTTTAGCGAAGGGGGAAAAAATCACGATATGTCACATGATGACACCGTGACGATGCGAGTTTGACACCCCTATGTTAAATCATTCCTTCCCCTTTTTTCTTTCAGTCCCAAGGATTGTAAGGTTGGGGGATTTCAACTCAACTTCCCTTCTGCTAGGGTCTTGATGCAACCCAGGAGTTCTTAACCACAGCAACAACAGGCCTGACCAACTAATTAAGAGCCTGATGTACATGAAAGGTCACAGGCAAGATCTAGTTTCTGATGTGGTTAGACACAAATCAATTGGAAAATGGGGGTGAGGGGCATTAAATTTCACCACTTCTCATAGAGGATATTTTCTTACCATCATTTCAATTTGTATTCTGCCCAATTCCCAACAATTCTAGGCAATTACAATAAAAATATTTTAAAAACATGGTTTTTGTTTTAAAGGTAAAGACACAAAAAACAGACGGGAACAATTTAAAAAGAAATTCACACAATGCAAAAGGGTGGTTTTACTCACCCTCACCAGTCAGATTACTCTTTGACTGCCATGGAATTTTACAGCACGACTCAGTTTTCTCCACAATGGGGACAGATGGGTCAAAGGGCATTTGGGGAATCTCCCAAGAGTCTGGTATGCAGTTTGATTATGGTCACCCATTGGAATAATGGGTCATGTAGGGGGCTGAACTAGATTGTACTGGGGCAACCTCTCTCTATCTGGAGATCCACTGCACTTTCTTGGTTTATTGAGGAGATGAGAGGTATGAAGTGGTTGAGAAGATACCTGAACACAGCTGGAAGGCCCACCTCATGTCTGATACTGATACAAGCTCATGTTTAGCAGCAAAACCAAAATATGTTGCCATCCTACTGACATCCAGCAGCCCTTATAATGCAACTTGCTCCTTTCTCAAGAATGTTTGACAAGACTGGCATCTGAAGAGTTGCTGGGAAGAATTAGCATTAAAACTGCTTAGATTTAAGAGGAGCTAGACTTCACCTGGACTAACACAATGAAAATTTGTGGGATGTCCTCTTGTGATCTGGAATCATTATGAGTTTGTGTTCCAAGGAAGCAGATAGAACCATCTGCAATGCCAGTTCCACCACTTCTCAGGTGAGTCTCTGTTTCTGATAACTCGCTAAGGTTTCCTGTGAGATGGCAGGAAGTTGGATCAAAGCAGTAATTAGTCCTTCCTTAAGGGAAGGATTGTTTCCTTCATTTCTGAAAAAAGCTACAGTGTGCCATCAACTTAATAAACATTCCAGCTATTTGGACTTTGGACCCATCCCTATTTTGGACTTTGGACCCATCCCCAACCTTCCTTCTTAAAGAAATGTTGTGGGGAAAAACATGCCTTTACATGGTATAGCCTTAGAGGAAATGGATTGTTTAGATCCTTGGCAGTCAGCTGTCAGGTCAGGATACACCACAGAAACTGTATTGATCATACTTGGTGACAGAGGTGGTATTCAGCAGGTTCTGACCAGTTCTGGAGAATTGGTAGCAGAAATTTTGAATAGTTCGGAGAACCAGAAAATACCCCCTCTGACTGGAGATTTTACAGTATTCTTCCCAGGGGTGGGATTCTACCACTTCACACCTATTCGCTAGAACCGGTTGTTAACATTCTAAGCAGTTCGGAGAACCGGTTGTTAGAAGAAATTACTGGACTAACCCTGTAAGGAAGGCAGGAAGGAAACATTCTGGTGTTGCTTACAGAAACTGTCTCTCTGTTAACCCTTATTACATTCTTGGCTGGACTAGACTTCCTGTCTCAGGAACTTCTCTGGAATATTTTCCCTCTCCTTTGCTGGTACTTTGCTTGTGTGGAATGACCATTCAAAGTTACAATGGCACTGAAAAAATGACTTATGACCATTTTCACACTTATGACTGTTGTAGCATCCCCACAGACATGAGAAGCCAGGCGAGGAGATGCGTGCCTCGATGTGAGTGATATTGAGTTGGCCACGCCCAGCCAATAACATGAGCACCAAGCCACACCCACCCAGTCACATGACCATCAAGCCACACCCACCAACTAAGCCACACCCACAGAACCGGTTAAAAAAATTGAATCCCACCCCTGATCCTTCCCCTGCCACGCCCACCAAGCCACGGTAATAAAAAAAAAAACTGAATCCCATCACTACTTGGTGGTGTGTGAGGTTGGGGAAGCACAATCCTCCTTGATCTCTTTTGGTACCATTGATCATACTGGAATATCCCTGAATGGTTGGAAAGGAGAGGGGAGGCATTCAACTACTTTGATTAAATGACCAGGATAGGGAAACTTGAACAATCTGAGACTTTGAAGTCTTTCTGCTAAAATCCAGGAGACTTTAGCACAGAGGTCTCCAAACTTGGCAACTTTAAGACTTGTGGACTTCAACTCCCAGAATTCCTCAGTCAGCCACACTGGCTGGGGAATTCTGGGAGTTGGAAGTCCACAAGTCTCAAAGTTGCCAAGTTTGGAGATTCCTGCTTTAGCAGGTAAAGCTCTTCTCCCTCAGATCTAGATCCACGGAGAAGCCTATTAGAGACGGCAGGTTCAGCCAAGTCTCTATAGATCAATTGCCAAAGTTAAATACAGGTAGTCCTCGACTTAGAACAGTTCATTTAGGGACTGTTCAAAGTTACGTCATTTTCAAGTGACTTCTGACCGTTTTTCACATTACAACTGTTGCAGCATCCTCAGGGTCATGTGATCCAAATTCAGATTCTTGGCAACTGATTCATATTTGTGACAGTTGCAGTGCCCTGGGGGGAGGTGTCATATGATCATCTTTTGTGACTTTCTGACAAACAAAATTAATGGGGAAGCCAGATAAACCTAAAAACCATGTTAAAACAACTGCAGTGATTCACTTAACAGTTATGGCAAGAAAGGTCATAAAATGGGGTAAAAGTCACTTAACAAATGTCTCCTTTAACAACCAAAAATTTGGGCTCAATTATGGTCATAAGTTGAGGACTACTTTTATATTAATTCCACTTCGTGGTCTGGTTCCTATGCCTGCTTGGCATAAGGCATACACCACAACTTAAATATTTCTTTCAGTCAAAGCAAGATAACAAGTGGTGACTAACAGCTGTTGTAGTTTTCTGAATTGTTCCTTTCTTGTAATAGATAATTACCACTGTCAGTGTGTTGAAGCCAGCTCTTCCCAGTAGATGTCCTAGGTCGCTCACAGCTGTAAAAGGAGACACATGTGGAGAAAATCCACCTTCTCTTTCCAGTTCTGCTAGTTGCAAAGAGCAGCGGAGCTCAAAGAGTGTGTCCCCTCCAAACATAGAACCAATAAATACTCCATCAGGTTTAAGGACTCGGTGTACCTAAAACAAATCACAATTAAACCAGGCATTAATAAAGATCTAATATAGCCTTTCTTATATTTGAATGGTAAGGTCTTATTTCAGAGTAAACACCAATCTCATTGTAATGCAGCATGCCACTGAAAGTCACTATACAATACTTAGGCCTACTTCTTTCTTAAATTCCACAAAATCTCATTGGATATATAATACAAGAAATATTTAATCAGTGCATTCGCCGCAATTAGTGGGATTGGAAAGGGCCACCCAGCTTGATGTAGGATCCAAATTAACACATCTCAATTGTTATGAGAAGTATTATCTGAGAAGTTCAACAATGAATTGCCCCCAAACATCTGGATCAATATTCTAATTCAGAAGTGAGCGATCTTTTGGGCTCTGAAAATTACATGCAGAAGCAGCTACAAGTCAGGGTTATACATCAATAATACACACACAGATGTATATGCATGCAAAAACAGGTGTTTCCCCCAAAACAGACAGCAGACTCCCTTTCAAATGAGGAAGAATAAATATCTGGGTGCGACTCCTGGCAGAAAAAACTTTTAACTTTAACAGCAATAGCACTTAGACTGATATACAACTCCACAATGCTTTACAGCAGGGGTCCCCAACCACCGGTCCGCGGACCGGTACCGGTCCGTGGAACAAGTCCTACCGGGCCGCTGGTTTGCTGGGCGCCGCCATCTTTTTTTGATGAAAAAGTGCTTCCGGTGAGCTTTTCCGGGTAGAAAGCTCACCGGAAGCACTTTTTCATCAAAAAAAGATGGTGGCACCCAGCTGATGCCGGTACCGGGCCGCGGCATAAAAAAGGTTGGGGATCACTGCTTTACAGCATTCTCTGAGGAGTTTGCAACATCACCATATTGCCCTCAACAATCTGAGTCCCAATTTTACCGACCCTGGAAGGATGGAAAGCTGAATCAACCTTGAGCTGGTCAGGATCGAACTCCTGGCAATAGGCAGAGTCAGCCTGCAATACTGCATTCTAAACACTGCGCCACCAAAGGTCCAATATTATTATTCACGGAGATAAAATACAAACCTTGAGATAGGATGGGAGAATAAGAAAGGAATAAGAATATTGCACTTCTGTTGCTGCTGCTGCTAGTAGCTGTCAAAAGAGCAATCTTTTTCTTCCCATCTGGTAATCAATTGGTAGCAAAGAAAAGAATGTGGCCAATCTGGGTCGTATAGACTGATCATAGTTGCATGTGGGTTATGGATTACTGAATTCTGCTATTCTGACCCACACCCTTTTCCAACAAATCAAACACAATCCAAAGGGAACAGAAACCTTTTAATGCTTCTGCAGAATAATTAGCTGTGATAAGTGTAAGCCTTGCCAAACTGTGTGAGACTGCCAAAAGATAACAGACATGAAATAATTTGCAATACAAGAATCTTCAAATACAAACTCAGGATACTGGAATGTCCACGAGGCTGGAGGTTCAAAACGTCTTTGCCTTCTACAAAAAACGTTTGTTTCACAGCTGGCTTTTATCTTCTTGAAGGAGGGGCCATGACCTTGCAGCCTTATTCCTGAGTCACCCATGCTGTTGTAGCTGCTCTTTCCTCCGAGCGATCCTGCACGCACGCGCACTTGGCACAGGCTCCTTGGGAACCTCCTCATCACTGCTGCCAGCCCCCACAATCTCTGAAGGCAGCAGTCCACTCCCTAATGGTCCTGGCCCCTCATCTGAGTCTTTGCTCTCCTCAGCCGTCCACACCTGCTGCCAGCTAACCATAACACCTGCCCTGGACTGAACTTTATCCACTTTGCTGTATTAACTGTGAGCAGGTAAGTATATTACAAGTGGACTGACTTTGCAGGTAGTCCTTGACTTATAGCTATTTGTTTGAAGTGATGACAACCTTGAAAGAGTGACTTACAAGCTGTCCTTGAAGTAACAGCTGTCACACCTGTGATCATGCGGTTGCAATTTGGATGCTTGGCTTGCCTTTATGATGGTTGTAATGTCTTGTGGTCATGTAACCACAATTTGCAACCTTTCCAGCAGAATCTAACAAGCAAATTCAATTGGGGAAGCCCAATTCGCTTAATGACTACTTGATTCACTTAGCAACCATGTGATTCCCTTAACAGCTGTGGTGATGTGCTTAACAACCATGGTAAAAATGATCGTAAAATCAGATCCGAACACGGTCCCAACTGTAGTCATAAGTCAAGGACAACGTGTGTGTGTGTAGAAGGTAAGACCTGTATCAAAATATCATAGGTCAGTATCTCTTTCAATCTGATTTCTGTTGGAAATAAGCTCAAGGAGGCTACTTTACTACACCCCTTTCCTTCTTTGCCAACTCAGTATATCATAGCTATTAGCCATACACAATTATTGCTGAGTTGAGGATGCTTGCTTTGACAATTTTGTTGCTGCTTTAGGGATACGCTGATGTAGTTTCCTTGGCAACTGTAAGGATGTAGCTTATTACTGCCACCTTCTGGGATGCCATTTCAATCTCTCAGTCTAGTCCCCTGTCTTCTTGTCCCTCTCTCATTACCGAACTAACTGGGCCTGAACCAGTGTAGCTTTTGAGCCCAAGTAAGGCCAAGCAGGAGCTGCCATCTGCATGCTAAAACGATGGTTAAGATTAAGTGTTATTCTCTCCACCATATCAATATATTAAAGGGAGGGGACAGGTGTACTTACTTCATGCAAGGCTTTGGGAAGATCATTGATCCAATGCAAACTAAAAAGGAATTACAATAGAAAGCAAGTTAATAAAAGGCAAAAAAAAAAAAAAACCTCTCTCACCAGTATAAAATTTAGATGGCAAACTCAGATTGGCATTTTGGCACAAGAAAAATATACCACACCAAAGCTGCATTTACATAATATACTAAGAGAATGACCTTAAGTAACATAAATGCATGTGGCATCATTTCTGCTGTGCATTTCACCCAAAATTTCAGTTTCACTGTAGTGTATTGTGCAAATTCAAAACAGATGCCATCTTGGATCCCTTTAACTTAAATACATAGTGATATAGAAACTAGTAGTCAAACTTTCCTCATTTGTTACTGCAGATAACGCACCACACTTCCTAAAACAGTGTTCTGGAAACGTCGCAGGAGTACATGTAGTAAAGTCAATTTTCTTCATATTAATCTTCTAGCCTCTCAATTATAAATTACACTTGCCAAGCTTGTTCTTATAACAGGCCAGATATTGTAGAAGATGACAAGGCTGAGCCCAAGGGAGCAGTGGTGGGATTATTATTTTTTTACTACCGGTTCTGTGGGTATGGCTTGGTGGGCGTGGCAGGGGAAGGATACTGTAAAATCTCCAGTCAGAGGTGGTCTTTGCCGGTTCTCCAAACAACTCAAAATTTCCGCTACTGGTTCTCCAGAACTGGTCAACCAGTTGAATACCACCTCTACAAGGGAGAGGTCAAATGCGTCATCAGCCAGGAGTCCCTGCATGCCCACAAGAGATCTAAGTTCAGCCTACCTTGAATTCCTTAACTCCCGCTTATTTCCTTTGACTGTTAGTAGTTCAGATTCTTGTCGAGAGTTTAAGCTTGCAATGAATCTTTATACTCATTTGAACTACCCGAAACTCTTGATTTCCCCGGCGCTTGACAAATATTATACTAACACACAAAACTGCAATCTTAGAAACAGTTTTAGAACCTAAGGCTCCCAATTACAAAAATCACTATTCTCACTATAAATGTTTCTGTCTACTTTAAATCAATTGTTAATTACCTCAGACTGCTGACAACAAGATTAAATGTGTTTTCTTTGAAAGGAAGAAATTCTTCATCTGCTATGATATTGACTCTTGGTATTTCTGAATCTATTGTGTTCTTCTAAATCAGATTAGAAGAAAAATAATTTAGGATAATTCAGTTAAGACAGTTCAACTTTTCAATTTTTCAGTAGTATGAGTTAATAGCTGACAAATAACACGCAAATCTTACCAGAGCATTTTCAGCCACATCCGTTTGAAAAAGCCTTTCAACAACATCCTGAAAGAAAAACAGGTAGTGAATAATTTACAGTTATTTTATTGATTTTATTTAGGAAACTGTTTGTTTGACTAGCCAGAAAAAAAAAAGAGTAACATGATGTATGTGATAAGGCTGTTTCTTCTTTCTTCCTTCTTTAAAGGATAATATTGTATATATGCGCCATTAAACTATTTATTTGAGTTCATTATTTTGTTAAAATACTTCTGAAACATTGCAAAGGCTTCTGTATTGGGGCTGAAAGGCGAAAGCGGAAGCAGTATACTCCACCCTATAATTGGGGAGACCAGGTTGCCCTGATAGATCGGTCCCACCGGAAAAAAACACTTAACCTTCTGCATAATTACTTAAAAATCCAATTGAACCAATGAGGGTTACTTCTTTGTCACCATACAGTATATCAAAAAGCTGAGATGATAAAGACAGAAAATGATTAAACAGGAGTGACATTTGTTAGATCTTATTTTGAGTATTCAACAAAGGCTTGACTGATTACTTAGTTCAGTTGTCTGATTCAAATTTACAAGGTTAGGCAGGTTCCCACAATGTATTATAATGTGATTTGTCTAGCTGCAGCTTCGTGCTTTGTAGACACCCAAGCATTCTTGGGGTTATAACCCATGGTTTATTATTTTGATGTATTGCGTAAATCAGTCAAATGTGATTTCAATAGAAGAGAATGTTGTTATTTATTAAGCAATCCACAGCCTAACAGGTTGTACTGCATGAATAAAAATCAAACTGCAAAAAATACCTTGTTTAAATGCTGAGCAATGTAGCTTCGCCCACACCCAAGGTCCAAGGCAAGGGGAAATGTCCTTAAGAATGAAAAATAAAATAGGATTAAAGTGCAAAACTGCAAATCAATGGTCTATTTTAACCTAAATTTCAAAGATGTATTGCCTCCTTGAAACTGTCTGATATACAGCTTAATCTGATAGCTGCAACAAATGGAAAACAGAATGCTTCTTTCACTGCAGAAAACCTTTCTGCTTTTAAGATTATTAAGGTAAAGATTCCCCTCGCATGTATGGGCTAGTCATTTCCGGCTCTAGGGGGCAGTGCTCATCTCCATTACAAAGTCAAAGAGCCAGCGCTTCTGAAGAAGTCTCTGTGGTCATGTGGCTGGCATGTCTAAACATCAAAGGTGCACGGAATGCTGTTACCTTCCCAACAAAGTGGTCCCTATTTTTCTACTTGCATTTTTACATATTTTCGAACTGCTAGGTTGGCAGAAGCTGGGACAAGTAATGGGAGTTCCGTTACGCGGTGCTAGGGATTTGAACCACCGAACTGCCAACCTTTCTGATCGACAAGCTCAGCGTCTTAGCCGCTGAGCCACCACGTCACTAGTAATCTCATAATAATCTTAAGATTATTATGAGATTTTAAATCCACTCTAAAACTATATTAAGCATATTTTAGGACTTATACTATGGTTCTGTTTCCTGGTTGAAAAGTGTGAGAGAATTTCCCAAATTTGGGTTACTGTGGTTGGTGAAGGTTTCCAGAATCCCAAAACCAGGTATGGTGTGCAACTGGAGGTTTCAGATTTGTCCAGTCTTGTTTGATATGCAGAGTGAGAACAACGAGTAGTACTTACAGTGAGATCTGAGCTTCATCTAAGTTGTATGAATGGACAGAGATTCCAGTTAAATAGAAACACAGACAGAAGTGTATTTTGTCATGTCTCCACTCAACAACCTGAACTAACATTATTTTTATAGGAAAAAGTTTTTAATTGCTGAATGTACCTTTGATTACTTCAATCAAACATGCCAGCAATGGTTTTGAGCTTCACGAGCATCAAATTTTTTTTTAGGTGGATTAGATCTTTTTTGATGGGGGCATGATTCACTTCTACAATCCTGTGTCAAGAAGACCATGTTCTGAGAGTGGCAACCAAAGTGTGTAAATCAGAGGTGGTATTCAGCAGGTTCTGACCAGTTCTGGAGAACCAGTAGCAGAAATAGTGAGTAGTTCGGAGAACCGGCAAATACCATCTCTGACTGGCCTAGCCCTCATCTATTCTCTGCCTCCCGAGTCCCAGCTGATCTGGGCTGACTCTTCTTTTGTTGCCCTGCACAGGAGAACAGAGCTGGAAAGCAGGTTAGTGGGGTGGGGAGGAAATGGAGATTTTGCAGTAACCTTCCCCCAGGAGTGGGGAGGGAATGGAGATTTTGCAGTA